CGGGTGATGAAAGGCTTCCATGAGTTGTGCTGTTCTGTGTTACGCTGTGCTGGTTTGCGGAGAAGCCTTTTATTACCTACACCTCGTCAGTAGTCAAGACCCTGCAGTTCTGTCGTTGACGTGCCAAGTGGGTGACAAAACTACTACTACTACTACTACTACTACTACTACTACTACTACTACTACTAACTACTACTAACTACTACTAACTACTACTAACTAGTACTAACTACTACTAACTACTACTACTACTACTACTACTACTACTACTTCTACTACTACTACTACTACTACTACTACTACTACTACGTACCCCTCTACCAACCACCTGGCGCCTAAACCCATCACCATCACCCTCATTATCATCATCATCAAAATCGACATTACGACAGTACGGTAAATACCGGATGTGTTCTTAAAAAGGTACGTCATCCGCCCCTCCCCCTCACCCCCTCTAAACAACGGTGGTTGGTATTGGACTACGACGTCACGAGGGTACTGTAAATGCCGCGTAAAACGGCTGTGCTCTTAAACAGTGTTTGGGAGAGGTGGTTCTTCTACTACTACTAGTGCTACTACTACTCCTCCTGCTGCTGCTCCTACACCGTGACGACGACTACTACTACCACGATTCCAACAACAACAACAAAACGCAAGTCACTTGCCCGGATCCACGAAAGGCGCGCGAAAGGGCGCCGCCAAACCGTTGGTCAGTGTGGCAATGTCCCGGAACTTAACCTGAAAGCCGCATGGGCGAAACAGGCCGCAAATCCAGGCACAGGGCATTATTACCGAAGCCCTCAAGTGTTTCCTACTTCCGTGTGACAAGCATACAATGTTACGAGAGGCAACTTGTGGTGTGTTGGTACGGCTGGCGACGGGCGTGAAAGAGCGTGCGAAAGCGTTGCGATAGAGGGGTTTCTGCATGAAAGAATATCGCACAGCCCCCCGCCGTGAAACCATAGAGTTAGGCAATGGTTTCAGCGGCGCCGTGGCCGAGCCGTGGGTGTCAAGAACTGAGAACGGCAAGCTTGGAAGCGGTTATCCCACCGTCGGCATGGGACTACGAACGCGGCAAGGTTGTGTTCACCTTTCAGTGGCTGGGGAATGCCGTCATCGGGAAATGTGCTGTCACCTAAGTTTGCTTCTGTGACGGCATGCCATTTCTGGAGCTGGGCAGTTTTGGCACGGCTGTTGTATGCGTTTCTGCGCAGTGGACAGAGGTCTCGGGAATTGTCGCCAGCCACAGTTGGCAAAAAGCTGCTCTTGAGCCGACCTCGTTGCCCAAGCACAAGTGTGCTCTTGCATGTGTGGCCGAATTGCATGCTGACTCCCAGGCGGGCTCCGCGGCAAATCTTCTGCTAGCCCCTGTATCAGCAGCTCTGCTGCGGCGAAGTCCCGAGGAGCGGCGATGAAATTTGAAAGTAGCTTTCCAGCGCATGGATATCTGTTCGGCTGCGCACAGGCTATCGCCACGAGACTCTAAGGAACCGAGGGCTGGCGAGATCTTATCCGTACTTTCACTACCGCCGTCGAAGCCGCGTCGTGTGTGTTGAAGTTACAATGTAGTTCATCGGCCCGAAACGCGAAGTGTACTCATCGGGCCTGGAGCCGAGTCCCGCCAAATATACCGGATCTTTGAGACAGTCTGAGGACCGGTCTCGAAGCATTGGCCTATGTCGAATGTTGGGACTCTGCTGTCTGGAAGGTTGCAATGACTCGGTCTCGGTTGATGACAAAGTCAGATTGAAAAAGGGCGGATCCCGAAGCTGACAAGATCCTCTGAGTTTTTCCTGTTGTCGCGAACCTTATCGACTGTGCCCAGTCTCAGGTCTCTGGTCCACACACGTGTCTCCCCCGCCAGTTTGGGCAGCTTCCTGACACTCTGAAGCAGATTAACAGGCCTGTGGCCTGCAGCCAGACGGCTGGACGGCCGTAGCTGCAGACGAGGCGCACGAGCTTCTCGCATTCGCAAGGGCTGGACGTGCGAACGTTTCACCGAGGAGATGGAGGCAGTTGGCATAAACGGTGCCGATGAGGCTGGCTGAAAGAGAGCTGCGGCAAGGTTCTCAAACAAAGTCGACCAGACAAACTTGGCTGAGGCACCCCCGCTCGGCACACGAAAGATTCGAGACTTATGGCCTCAGTTTGCATTCACATTTTTCTATGCCGTGATGTTTGGTGGCAGCGAACCTCGGCTAGCACGTGCAGCAAGCATGTTCGTGAACACAGGCGTCGCAGGACAGCAGAGCCATAGATTCCTTCAGGACTTCTACATGGTGGAGATGGTCGCCGAGGCCATATCTATGAATGCTGGATGTTAGAGGGCATGATTCCGAAGACAAGGCCTGGCCAGAAGATATTGATGTGCCCGGGTCCAACTGCTGCCGAGTAAAAAGGCTGGGAGGTCGCTCCGAGATTGTTTTTGTTTGCCTAGGGCCTTGTTCATCTTCGGCCCCATGGCCTTGACTGCAGCCGTCTCCACTCCACTTGCCTGAGCCTTCGTGTCATGGTTGGCGGCGCCAACTGCTCAGTTTAGATTCAACACGCTAGCTGCAAGGTTGGCGAGCTCATGGATGCTTGGAGCCCGAGCCTTGCTATCTGCAGCTCTGTGCGAAGTGGGTGGTGCAGTGTACGTGCGGCAGACCTCGTAACAGTCGGCATTATCGCAAGCAAGAGTGCATCGTTCACGACTCCTTCACTGTTCCTAACTGGGTCTAGGGCTCCGCACACGAGCGAGAGTGCTCTCGGCAACGCGAGCACAGTGCTTTGGATGTTGGTGAAAGATGGCAAAACGCGTAAGGCAAAGCCCATCGACGTCTGCCTATAGCCGAAAGCCGAGTGGAGCTTTGCACCAGTTCTGAGTGACATGGAGAGAACCACATGAGGGAAGGGGGTCGCTTAGCAACTTTTTCTAGGGTCGCTTGGCGCACTGGCCAAGGTAGGGCCAGTAGAGCCCGTACTGTAGCACCCGGCAAGCCTGTAAAGACCCGTAAAGGCCCGCAAGGCCCACAGGGCGTAGAGTCCGTTGGCTAGGACCTCATAGACAAGGCCTGCCAGACCTGACACTGTACACCATTGGGCATTCTAATGCTTTTTTCGGACATGCTTGGCAGCACACCATTCCTTGCTTCGCTGCCCCTTTGTAACGCTCCTGATTCACATTGACATGCGCGGACCTGCTGCGGGGAACCATTCCTTGATATTCCTTGCCTGGGTGGCTTTGCAACGCTCATGATGGGAGAAAGACAGGATCGAAATCGCATATTGCTTGCGGCTAGGGGGCGAGGCCATGCAAAATGCATGCTGCTTGCGATACTGAACCGGAATCGGCAAATGAGGGGGCGTGTTTATAATATATGATGAACCGGTATCGCCAACAGAGGGGCCGTGTTTAAGATACATGATGACTCGGAATCGCCGAATGAGGGGGCGTGTGTAGGATATATGATGAACCGCTGTTGTTTTCAACTTTCTCTGCGTTATCGCCACGTAAGGGCGTGTTTAAGATCAGAGTAGCCGGATTCAGCAAACCGCTGCGACATTCAGCAAAACGAGTCAGCAACCTGTCATAAACAGGGAGCAGCAGCACGACAGTTGAAAGTAAAAAAGAAGGAGGCTGCATTCGGCAAGCGTCCGACACGACAAATAAGATGACGAGCAGACTTGCATCCGTTTAGGGTTTCGGGTTTAGGGTTTTTTTTCCAGGGGCAAGGGGCAATCTCTTCATGTTTGCAATTTCGGGCGTTGGCGGCTCCGACAGTGGCCTTGAGCTTTTCTGAATCCGGGCTGTTTGCTGACACTGGCCCCGCTGCTTTTGACTTTATTTGCGGACTGTGGCCCTGCCCTGTTTAAGACACATGATGCATCTGACTCGCCAAATGAGGGGGCGTGCTTAAGATAGTTACATGAACATGAGGGGCGTGTTTAAGATACATGATGAAGCTGAATCGCCAACAGACGGGCGTGAACCGGAATCGCCAAAACGGGGGGCGTGTTTATTTATAATATATGATGACCCGGATTCGCCAAATGAGGGTGCGTATCTAAGATCTATGATGAACCGGCATCGCCAGAAGAGGGGGGGTGTGTTTAAGAAGCGCGATGAGTCCGAATCGCCAAATGAGGAGGCTTGTTCAAGATAAATTCTGAACCAGAATTTTCAAAGAGGGGGCGTGTTGAAGATGCATGATGAACAGTAAGCGCCAAATGAGGGGTGTGTTTGAGATATATGATGAATCCAAATCGCCAAATGAGGGGGCGTGTCTAGGATNNGATATATGATGAACCGGCATCGCCAACAGAGGGTGCGTGTTTCAGACACATCATGAACCGATGGGGCGTTTAAGATATATATCGATAATGAAGCAGAATCGCCAAAAGAGGGGCGTGTCTGAGATGACTCATGAACCGGAGTCACGAAATTAGCCGGCGTGTTTAAGATATATACATGTGTACGTGTATATCTATGGATATAATTACTGATGATAAGGGGGCGTGTTTAAGATGTATGATG